TATAGGCAAAAACGCATAAAAATGGGGATCACATCGAACAAATTATACGGAACTACGGAATTGCACATATCCTCGGCCGCCGAAAAATCCAGCCGGATGCAAAACAGCGGACATCCCACGTGACATTTTTGATAATACATTAATTACAGCAATGATGCGGAATGGCTGGAAAACTATGAGGCAGCTTTATACGACTGCTTTAGCAAGCTGAATAGTTGCGTGAGGGAAGAGGAACGAGAAAACGTCTGGTGTCGACTAAAGGTCGGTCCTTGACTTTATTTGTTTGTTACACAATCTCATGCGAAACAACTGTTAAGCCAAAAAGTACATGTGCTCACTGAACGGTGTTCATTCAGTGGCGGTTTAATCGAAGAGTGTCAAAAAACACCGCAAGCTTGGGCTCGCAAATAACTAGTTCGACTAACGTTGCCTTTAGTGAAGTTTCGCGAAAAACTAGTCAGACTAATGACAGCAATGGTTAGTTAAATAGAAAAACATGCATGTTCGATTTGAAAGGCGACCACTTAGAAAACTAGTCATATCAGCACAATACAGTATTTAGGAGCTTTATCTGGAACTGTTTTTGTCAGCTCAAGAAGTTTGGCAAGACAAAAACACACCAGGGCGTTTAGCAGTTTATGCGTCACTGTCAAAGCTGGTGAAATTCTATTTGGATGTTGCCGATGAAGAAACGATGAAAATTTGCCAGGATGCAGCCAGTGAAGCGAAATTTCTCGGCAAAGGTTTGTTCCCAAGAGAAAAAAAAAGTGAAATTTTGTACAAAAAGTGAAATTTTGGAGTGCATGTCACGAGCCAAAATACAAATTTCATTAATAGGAGCTCAATAGAGGTTTGAGAAGGAAATATTGAAGGCAGGCCTGACACCGAAGTTTACAGGAGCTTTAGATGAAGAGCAGCACAGAGACACAAGCGCACGAATAAATGAAATCAGGAAGAACATCGGAGATGCAGAACGTGGTAAAAAGGATCTCGCGGACAGCAGCTAGTGCTCTTTCTTAGCACCTCGTTATGCTGGTCAATAACAGTCTGCAGCTCAGGCCTATCTGTCATTTTTTTATGTCTTGCTCACTTCAAAGCGCACAGTAGCGAGTCCGTGCGTGTGTGTATTCGTATAATTCAACTTCAGAAGTGTTAGAATTGGGAAGATGGAATTTTAAGAATTTAATTCCACACCAAGCGCAGCACAAAAACTTGGGACAGACTTTCAGAACGATAAATTCAGGTCAGTTTCCCAATTTAAAAATGAGCAGAGCGAGCAACTGATATGTAGACTTCTAATTCATCGAATTATGCAAATCAAGCAATTTAGAATTAACTCCCTGCTTCCTAAGCTGCGGTCTCGGACTCGAACCGGAGCTAACTGCGTAACTTTGGGAGAGGAGGAACTGCAGAACTGAAATATGGGGTTTAAGTTTACCCCACACAATGCGTCATGGATAAAGCTGCTTTCAGAGTGAGTTCGCCCCCAAGAATGGTGTGTAAATGGACGAGAAGCATTCATAAATTGTAAATTTTAGTGGTTTACATAAGCCGAACGGGTCAGATCATTGCAGCAAAGTGCATCCGATCACTTTGATACCCACTACTTACCGCTGTTCTACTCTTGACCCACACGGACCCGCCGTAAAAACGCGTGAGCACACTGGTCGCCGGTGTACATCTCGACTTTACTGTTCATAGCTCTATTCCCTTGCTCTCATTGCGTCTATTCGAGGTCAGCTACTTTCACCAGTTTTATAGTGAACTGATTCTGGACATATAACACGCAGTTGTTGCTCCATGAGGGGCGCCGTGGTCCATCCCCAGACCTCTCAATGAGACAGAACTTATCGATGTAATATGCAAAGACCCCGGCACCGACACATCTCCTAATGATGATATTACTGTTGACGAGAAAGAGACCTCCATTTTTTTTGTATTTTTACTTCAATGCTAGCCATGTTCACTACTCTTTAAAATGCAGCGTTTATTTCTGCTTGAGGCCTCTCATTCACGTAGCTTTTATCAGTAAGAAGATTCAGCACCATACACAAATACCAGCACTATGTCAACACCGTATACTGTCATTACTGTGATTACCAAGCAGAGTAAATACAATTCTGAAGTGAGCATAAATTTACAGAGATTCACAAAAACCTGGATTTAGTCAGTAATACAGAAAGCTGGAAGGATAAGCTGGGAAAAGGCTAGAACGCAGCTTTTTACTCGCCCCATTTTCAATTTGCGTCTGAATTTTATTAAATTTTACACATCTTAATCAATTAATTGCTGTTCAGTGCAAGTTAAAATCTGTCTTATAAAAATTTAGTTGCGCCAGTCGAACCAAGCCTCAAACCCGACAAAAACCCACAGAATTCTCTGGGAAAAACTCAAACTGAATATGGTGATGCTTAGAAGTTCGAAGGTAAAGTCAAGAAGTTCCAGGTAGCTTAGACAAAGCTACCTTCACCCTCCAGTCTCCTGAAACCACACTTCGAAAATCCTGCATCTGTGATATACTGCATTTCCTATGCTCAGTAACTGCCAACACTGCACCTTGATAACTTTTTTTTTTCTCGAGCAGTTTGAAAGACAAAAGATCAAAAATATGTCAAGTATCGCACAGGCGTACAGTCACTCTCAGATCCGTGTGCAGTGGCTTTAAAGATCGGAACTCAAAGTCATAATTTCCTAAATGTGCAGAACTCCAGGATTCGTTATTCCCAACCATATCTTCCCACCACTCCCTTCTTCACAACGTGAACTTCTAAAGGAAATTTCGCTGTAACATCTCAAACCAAAAACACGACCTTGAAAGCAATGTACGACGACCTAATTGCATGCGATCAGGAAACAAACCACCATTATGAAAATTCGACAAAGAAGCAGCTTAACTGGAAAGGAGCTAGGCGGTGTCAGAACTAAAAAACACCGTGCAAAAAAGGCGAAGGCTGAAACAATGCAAATAACACCGAGTGGTGACGTGGAGATACAAAAGACACTTTACACCGTGATATTCACTGGATGAGCCTATGGATTTTTTGCAAATTGCACAATAGTTGGAATAGTCCTCCGCAAATAATTAAGGATATCAGGACTCAGGGTCCTCAGAACCATTTGTTCCACAGTGATTGCCGTCTGTGCGGAAGAATTCTTGTGTGGTCTGCCTGAGGAATTTGTTGACCACCACCTCGCTTTCAATCCATCGGGACAAATCGCTGCTTCGTAATACACCTGAAAATGAAATACCCATTAAAACTTCAACTGCAAAAAAAAATTTTACCCATAGTCTCAGGGTGAAATGTATTAGCGTTAATCTCCAGTTTACATAAAGTCCTTCTGACTTCCAGATTTACGGATCTTACTTTCTCGTGTGATCGCGGTGATAACCTACACGCTGCTCAAATAACTCTGACTGTCTGTAATCATCAGAAACCAACGCGCATCATGCAGAAATACAGCACTGAAAAATTGGACATTTCAGAGAGAGCAAAAGTATTGGGATGGTGTACTGTTAGTCACTCTGTGCTGTAATTCTGCAATTTTTTGAAATGAACAAACAGGCATGATTTAAAAAATTCATTTTTTGATGCTCAGCTTCAACGCATTTTGATGTCTAGGGATCGCTTGCACAAAATTTGGTGTGGCACAAAGCAGTGGGAAGAAAGCACATTTTGAAGGGGCACAGGAAACAAGTCCATTCTACAGGCACACACAGGTCTCAGGTCTCTTGTATAAAACATTTCGTCTATTTGTTTGTGCTGCAACAGTTGCACAAAACACATACTGTTATGATCCTGTGTGTCTGTGTGTGTATGTTATATGCATGTGTGTATGTATGTACGTATTTATGTATGTATGTTTGCATGTAAGTATGTATAATACATAATGTATGTGTTTTTGATCCAAGTGCCTTTTTGCTGGGTTTCCTGGGTTTTCAACTCAAGAAACAGATAAGCTATAAAGCTGAAACTTCAGAAGTATGTTCACTCCTTACATGCGACTCTACAGATTTAAAATCAGCCTTCGGGCTCTAATAGGTCACACGCACAACCACATGAAAATTTCGGTGGGAAAATAACTAGCTTAGGAACCAAAAAATTAGGCTGAAATTTTAGAAGGATGTCCCTTGTAAATGTGCGACCCACCAAATTTGAATTCCGCTTTCATGCATGTCTACGTCTCACGCGTGAAGATATGGAAATTTTAGTGACCCCTTCGGAGATTTCCAACAGCAACTGACTGGTCTAACTACTGCGAGGAAAGAGTTTGCAGTTTACGCGCCAAGAAAACTGCTGCAGGAGTGAGGGTCATCTTAACTCCACAAGTTTTGGAAGCATTGGGAATTGGGACAAGATGAGGGGAAGGAGAGGGATAAGGAACACCAGCGAGCGTAAGAACGCAGGGGATAAAAAAACACGTCAAAAATATATAAACTGCTTAAAAAAAGAAAGATGCACTTTTGCTTTAAACTAACAGCAAAGCAACAAACCATGTTCCCGACTTGGACAACATCGACTAAACTGACTGCGTTTAGATTGCCATTATCACCGCCAGACCATGTCAAAATCGGACACATGACGTTTTCATTATCCTCACTTACAGCATAAGCCATAAATTCATCAAGCTGCACAATCATTCCCCTTCCTGAAAAATTATGTACAAACAAAGAGCGATAAATGGTATCAAAGCGAAACGGAGAGCTACGACAAAATGAAGCGACGCATCTTGACGCCCTTAAGCAAAATGCCATCACATCCGAAACAATTGCATGCCATCTGCATGAATACGTTATTTTCGTCAACAACCAGAAACAGCTCCTTTGTTATGCGTTTTTGCCGTGCAGCGCTAGAGCGCTGCAATTTTTGCTGCCTCCTAGAGCGCTGCAGCTGGCAGCAAAAACGCATATTGCAATGACCCTGTCAGCGTGTGTGTGTGTGTGTGTATGTATGTATGTTCGTATGTGTGTGTGTTCGTCAGTCCGGGCATTTCAATTCGCCAATCACGCAAGCTCTGAAGCTGAAATTTTACCGCTGTGTTCCCCAGCAAAGTGCCACCCCGGGATCACGGTATCAATTCCCACGCACGTCCGGCCCCGCGCACGAGCACGTGAAAGTTTTGGCGGGAAAACTGATAACTCGGGAACGAGGAAAGCTAGAAAGCAGAAACCTTAGGGGAATGTTCCCTACCCGTGCATGACAAAAAGATTTCAAATTCAGATGCCCAGGACTGCACGGGGCTTACGTACGGATACGTGAAAGTTATGGCGAGAAAATTCGTAACTCGAGAATGAGAAAAGTTGGAAAACTGAAACTTTGGGGGAATGTTCCCTAATCACGCACGACCAGAAGTTTTCAAACTCAGCACCTTAGGACCGCCCGGGGCTCACGTACGGGCACGTGGAAATTTTGGCGCGAAAATCACTAACCCGGGAACAAAAAAAGCTACAAAAGTTGAAATCTTACGGGAATGATTCCTATTCAAGTACGAGCAAAACCAGGTGTTTAGAAGCACCCGAGCCCACGTACGAGCGCGTGGAAACTTTGGCGCCGGAACTGCTAACCCTGGGACGCGAAAAGCTGAAAATTTCGGGTAATGTCCCCTACTCATGTATGACCAAAAGATTTCAAATTCAGCTCCTTAAAATCTTCCGGTACTCACGTACGGACACGTGAAAATTTTGATGAGAAAACTGCTAACTCGGGGACGAGAAAAGCTGAAGGCTTTAATTTTAAGAGAATGTTCCCTA